CGGCAGTCGCGCGGTGAGTGGTGGACAGGTGGAGACGGGTGTAGATGCATGGGCGGTGGAGGCAGTTGGGTCGACGATGAAGCTGTACTTTCGCACATTCAGTCGTTGAGCAATCAGACACATTTATCCATTTGCCATGCCCATGTGGGTAAACGTAAGTGTTTTCGCACTAATTGAAAATAGCAAGTGTCCAGCCCCACATTTTGCTCAATCTGCCTCTTCTCGCTTCGTCATCTCCACTCCTTTCATTTTTTTTCTTCCAAAGTCTCCCTCTTGCTCACTTCCATCTCGGCCATGGCTCACACCCAGTCCACACAGCCCACACATTTGCAAATGTCACAAGCTCGTTTTCTGTCTTCATCTTCGCCACTGGGTCGTGCATTTCGTCGGTTTTACGTCGCCATGTTGCCCCATTGCCGGGTCTGGCCACTGCCGACGGTGCTCTGCACCATCAGTTCCATCTGAACGGCCACGCCCGAGGTGGATTTGCTGTCGATATGGCAACTTGACTCGACGACGAGGCGATCGAGCCTGACCTTGCGGGTCTGTCCCGCGTCTGACCCATAGGCTCTAGGGCAGACACGGCCTTGGCGCATCCTCATCGGAAGAAACAGCCCGCCTAGCTACTCGGCAGGAGTGGCTTGCTTCCATCATGTGTCCTCCTGGTGCACGCACATGTTGGGACACAAGGAAACCGAAGCTTGTTTAAACTTCTTCTTTCGGCCAGTGAGAACGCACATCCCCGGGAGCCGGAATCGCGTGCTTGTTTGGTGAAAGTATGAATAATTGCGGCGCATGGGAATGGGCGAAATGCGTCTCATTTAATGTGTCAGGACGGGGCGAGCTCAGAGCAATGGGCCTCGTGATCGTACCCACTTACCTGGATTGTGCACAATAGGTTGAGGCAGTTTCGCCATTTCCTACTCGCCAACGTGACCATGAGCATTGTGAAGAAGCAGTCCCGTTGCTAGTACTAAAGTAGATAACTTTGCCTTCACAGAAAAGACCACCGTGTCGAGACAAAACTTGAACCTATACCCGTCCTTTGCATCGCAAGATCAACCGGTTTAGGCGCCACCCAGTCACGGTGTTATCGTTCGCCTCCGACGTCCAGCTTCACACATGGCAATGAACACCATCACATGGTAATCGTCCTACCGACCAGGTCTCTAACCTCCCAACGCGTCAACATCAGCTGCACAGTATATGCGAAGATAAGTTGCGTTTCGAGGCGTCTCTCATTTCCCAATTGTTGAGTTTCTGTTTCGAATGCAAGTGTTTGGTGAAGAGATTGGAAGCGCGATTCCACCAGAAGACGACGGTGAATTCCTCTTGACCAGCTGTCGATTGGCTTTACTGGAACAATCATGCTGAAGGTGTTTCCAAGGTAGTCTCCTTCGAATCAAGCCAACGAGTAACGAAGTTGGTTGTAAGTATGATACCTTGCTCTAATGATGTTCGTCATACGACGGACGAAAGCTTAGCACCTTTTCATCAGTATCGAAGGCGATTGCCTCGGAGACAGCGTCAGCATGAATGTTCCAGTAAAGCCAATCGACAGCTGGTCAAAATGAATCCGCAGTCGTCTTCTGGTGGAACCGACCTTCGAATCTCTTCACCAAACACTTCCACTCGAAATAGAAGTAGGCTCAACAATCAGCTGCACAAACAAACATGCGGAGCTTTGCTTTTGTGACACGACTTTCCATTTGGAAAGCTAAATTGATACAAAGTGGAACCGATGGAGGATTGTCACGATCGAATATGTCCTCGGTTCATATTTCTGCAACCCAGATCATCCGGTGAAAAGCTTTCGTCTGTACCATCGCAACAGACATCGTTAGAACGAGAAAACATACTTGACGAAAAGAAGTGCTATAAATGCTATAATCCAAGGCAATGAGGCAGCCTCATTAAGGTCCTGAAATGAGGTCATAGAGAGTAGGTTGATCCCTGCTAGGCCCATAAAGATTCGGCATGGGTTGATTGGGGTGACGAGACGGTTCTCTGAGGGCTCGTTCCTACGACTCATCAATCCCGATTACGAGAGCTTATGCCTTCAAGATTAATATCTCATACCAAATAAATGATGTGATCTAAAAGAAATGGTATAAAATTCTCCCGAAAGGGCAGAAATTGTGTCTCCCAATTCTCCCAAAATCCTATTCTCTGACAAGCATGTAGGGAGAGTATGAATTGACCAGCCAAACGCCGGTATGCCTAATAAAGATGGCGAAATCGGGTGTATGAAGTTTGCGTGATTTAACCCAGCCACTCTGCTCAGTTTCGTGCATTTGTTGCGCCCTTTCCTAAATTATGGTTTCTCGCTCTGACGATGTCTGTCACGATGGGACGGATGAAAGCTTGGCACA